GCATTTATCTTAATTAAGATAAATGCGAATTTATTGCTTAATTGATTTGGTTGTCATTAATCAATTTTCTGTAGAGGTGGCTGATGATTACGAAAACCAGATATGCAGTTCAGTTAATTTTGTGTCATTATTAATTCAAATTTTTACTTGCGTAATTTTAATAAGTGTTGTAATTCAATCATTTCAAATATATCAAATAATATAGATAATGTCATCAAAACATATCAAATAATAACAAGGTTCTTTAAAATTCTTAAACCTCTTTTCGTTTATTGCTCGAACAAACTTGCTGCGAATCAAACTGAGTCATAAAAAAAAAACGAAATTTTTTAGCTACGAATCAAATGAATCATAAAATTGATTGCAGCCAATCATTTCAATACAATTGTCAACACTTGTTTCAATTCCTAATAACACAAAGAAGCAACAAGAAATAAAAGATAGTTAGCTCATTAAAATTTATTTTCCAGATAATATAAACCTTGCTATTATTTGATATATTTTGATGACATTATCTATATTATTTGATATATTTGAAATGATTGAGTTACAACACTTATTATAGTTACGCAAATAAAAACTTGAATTAATAGATGACACAAAATCAACTGAATTACGTATTTGGTTTTTGTAATCATCAGCCGATACATATACGTATGATAAAAACTTTTTTCCAATAATAATATTAAGCAAATATATAACTCTATATTGTTATATATTTGCTTAATATTATTATTGGAAAAAAGTTTATATCATATGTATAGTATGTATAAGTATGATTATTTGGGTAACTTATAATGACTAAAAATTAGAACGGAATAAAATTGTATCTTATAGCCTGAGCAATAAAATTTTTAAATGACATTATATGTTAGTAGTTTATTTTTTGTGTTGTTTGCGTTTGTGTAAGCATTTCAGTAATTTATAAGTTACAAATAAATTACAACGTCATTTGCAAAATTTATTGAAAATATGAACTATAACGACATTTATTAAAAATACACATTATAACATCATTAGAACATTTTAAACTATTTTATTTTTTTACTTTTACCTTGTATCAATGTTTATAATAAGTGATTAATAAAATAATAATAATAATAAAATTTTGTTAAAAATATGAATTGTTTTTGTTTTATATCAATTAGAGGTAATCCTGCAGTTAATTGGCCTAAATTAATTTAACTTTCTACAAAACGTTGGAGAGTGTAAATAGCATTTTAATTATAAAAAACAAACAATTATTAATAATATTAATAATGACAATTTATAAATTAATAATTGTTATTATTATTAACAAAAATAAAGTTTACATTAATAGCAATAAATGTTTTAAGATATTTTTAAATTCTCTACGAACGAGAGATCTAAAATGAATTTCATTTAGGTCGCTTAACTGCAGGATTACCCGATAAAATTTTGGTTGATGTTTATCGTATATTATCCAAACCAAGGACACCATGTTTCCGTCGTTGATTCAAAGTAGTGCGGTTGCTAGAACCTTATTTTTATTTAAAACTTTCTTTTCTGTTTATTGTTTACAAATGTCTTTCAAAACTAAGAAATTATCTAAAATCATCAATTAAATAAGGTAAACTGTTAATATTGTTAATAAAAAAATCTAAACTTTTAAAAATATATTAGCAATATTTATAACCGAAGGATTAACTTTATTAATAAAGTTTCCAATTTTCAAATGAAGATGTAAAGAATTTTTTAATAATTTTACAAACCCTTAAATTTCCATAAAAAGTTATAAACTCGGAAATTAAATAATAATAGTTATTAAATTATAATAGAAATTAAATAATAATAATTATCAACTTGGAAATTAAATATTAATAATTATCAATAAAATATAATATACAATACTATGATACACTGTGATATGAATACTAGTATACAAAATAATATACATTAGTTTGTTAAATCAAAGAAATAGAATACAAGAAATCTACTCTTTGATAAATTTAAGTTATATAGAAATAAAATAAACCACTTATAATTCCTTTTTCAACAATAGCCTAAACAGCATTAAGAGAACTTGGAAAGGAATCAAAGAAATTATCAACATCAGACCTACTATATATAATAACTCTTTCAACCTCAAAATAAATGATAAAGTTATCTCAACCACAGTTGCTATTATTTTTAAAAATTACTTTGCCACTATCCAAGAGAAAAAAAAAATTATCCCTACATATGATTTTAGAGACTTTTTAAAAAACTGCATACAAGTTCTTTTTTCTTTGAGCCAGTGGCTGAAGTTGAGGTGTCAAATCTCATAATAAATCTTCAAAATATAAAAAGTCTGGGCCCAAACAGCCCACATTTATTTTTAAACTTATTCCAAACATAATCTCAAAGTCACTATCCATAATGATCAATAACTAATTTAAAATTAGAATTTTCCCAGATCTCCCTTAGATAGCTGAAGTGACACCTATACATAAAAAAGCTTCTCTACTATAATACTCTAATTGTTGCCATATTTCTCTTCTCTTAAATGTAAACAAACTGTTTGAGAAAGCTCATGCACTAACTGATATAACTGAAAAAATTAGAACAGCTTTGAACAACAAATTGTTTGCATGTGGTGTTTTTGTTGATCTCCAGAAAGTCTTTGATACATTTGACCATTCCATTCTAATCAGGAAATTAGAGTTTTGAATTAGATTTATCCATGGGCATCCGAACAATTTTTTAACGTTTCATATGACATCTTCATGTGCCTCATGCACGAATGTGTTGAACACTAAAAAATTATTATATGAAATTCAAAATCTGCAGATAAATTGCCTAAAATTATTATACGTGAAACATCAAAACTTTCTGTCGACGCACACGGATTTGTCTAAATATACTATAATTACATAAAATGTTAAAAAGAAATAACGTTTTTATGGAAAATAAAATTTTCACTAAAATCAAGTTTGAGCATTAACTAAACATTTGATTAAATCTTTTCCCGGATTTCAGATTTGGAACAACATCTCTGTGCTTTATTCTTTCTCTGATAAAACCATCACATCTTGAAAACCATAAACAGCAGTTGCTACTTTAGTCACTTCCTTAACAACTTTTTCACAAGACTAGGTGTGAAGAAGATAGTAAGGTATTTCCATAAAAGAATCTTTTACCTTTTGTAAATTTTTATTTGTCATATGTAAGATGTCACATGTAAAATTTGGCCCCAAGATTTGTTTATTACTTCAGTCAATGAGTTCAAGGAGAGTCAAAGTTAAGTGTAGGATTTTTTCGAATTCCCCTACACTTACATCACTTTGCTCTGAATTTCTTTTAACTTTCATAATAATCTTGACTACAAAAGCACTATTTTCATTTAATAAGCTTACAAAAAGAGAAATAAAAAGAGACTCAGAATGAGCATGAAATACCCCATTTTAATACACTTTTTAACGAAATCCTTAATTTCTATTGTTTGACCTTTTAGTAAAAAAAGTAAGTTGATTAGATGATGGGGCTCATTAACAATATAGTGCTTTACCATGATTCTAAACCACTTATGAAAGTATACTCGAGCCACGAACTCAGAAAATCTTTCAGATTTTTTAAAGTACCATTTTTCAAAACATGTTCAATAATGTAAAGCCAAAGGATTGAGTGACCAGTTGTGAGCCACCTGACATAGCAAAGATTGCCACATTTTTTGTCGACAAGTGAAGGATTGAAGATACCTGCATCAAGACCAGAAACTAACTTGTAGCTTAGTGAAGCGTCAATTGAAATAAAATGTGTACCTCTATGATTGAAACTCTGATTAAAATGTCTTCAATAATTTTTATCAGACGCTCAATCAGTCTAGTCGGTTCAAACTTTTCTAGTCTTTTTAATTAATATACTTTTGATAATAGTTTGCCTATAGATCCTTTAAATCTATCCTTGGATTTTTTAGGATCATCAAGATTTGCAGTTAAGTGTCTTATAGGTAGCTTATTTTTATGTAACATGCAAATTGACCAAAAACATGAGCTTTCAATAACAAGTTTCTTCAGGTAAATTAATAATCCGCCGTTGTTACCAAATCCAGTCATTGAGTTTGTGAAGTCTAATCTAATCACAATTATAGTTTAATTAACTTCTCTTGGAACCATCCAGTTACAAAAACCGGTTGCAACTTATTTAGCTGGTTTGTTTAGACTCTTTGAAGCTGTGTAATGGGTCAAATAACATCTATCTGGTTCAAAAGTAACACATGAGCTTTCTTGCTTTTCTATTCTTTGACAAAACGTTTTAGTAATTCAGGGCCGACAATGCCGGTTCGGAGGGGGGGGGGGGGGTAAAGGGTTTTTTTTTTTTTAAAAAAATTTAAGATAAAGGGGACTTTTCTTAGAAATTGAGGATTGTGCCCCTCCACTTTGAAACCCGTGTCATCGGCCCTGTAATTGAATCTTCAATCAAAATTGGAGTACGATCTTTTTTTCCATCTACAATTATACCTTTGATAGGAACTTTAATAATTAGTTTTTCTGACAAAACTCTAGTTTTAACCATAACCTATTTGACCAGTCTCACCTTTTTAAGATCTAAGCCATAATAAATCAAGTTGTGACATCTTTATAGCTTTAGAGCAAAAGCATAAAATGTGATTTCCTGCAGAACAATTTTTAATCTCCCTACAAGGAGAATTTTGATCTGTACAGAGTAACATGTTACACCTACATTTTGTTGTATCCATATATTGAAACGCAAAAAAAACTGCATTTTGCGTTTGCGTTCTAAAATAAAAACTCACACGCAAACTCAAACGCATTTGACGCAACTTATTGCGTTTACTTACGTAAACGTAAACGCAGTTTACGCAAATAACCGCGTTTACGCACGCATTTAATACGCAACTTACGCATATAAATTGCGTTTACGAACGTAACTCAAACGCAATTTATGTGTATAAATCCGCTTACAAACGGAACTGAAACGGAACGTACGCATTTATATATACATATATATATATATATATATATATATATATATATATATATATATATATATATATATATATATATATATATATATATATATATATTTATATATATATATATATATATATATATATATATATATATATATATGTGTGTGTGTGTGTGTGTGTGTGTGTGTGTGTGTGTGTGTGTGTGTGTGTGTGTGTGTGTGTGTGTATGTGTGTGTGTGGATGTATATATATGTGTGTATATATATATGTATATATATATATATATGTATATATGTATATATATATATATATATATATATATATATATATATATATATATATATATATATATATATATATATATATATATATATATATATACACATTAACAACATAAAATTTAAAATAAGAAAGATTATACATATATTGCATATATATGTACGATATGTACTAAAATTACTTACTTTGACGCATTCTTCTCCGCCTTCGTTCTTTGTACCTTACAGTTTAATTTTTTCATATCAATTTTTTTAAACAATTGTTTTCATTCTCTTGTTTTGCTTTCTTATTTTTTCATGTTTAGGATAGGGTGGGGCAAGATGTCAATAAGTCACGCCCCATGTGCATTTGATTAATATTGTTTAACTCCTTTTATATACTATTGTTTAAGATATTTACGTATTCAAACAAATAATTGGTTTTAATCAGGTTATAACTTTTAAAGGATTTTGTTAGTAAATTACTAAAAAACTTATAACTTTATATATATAAATTTAAAACAATAGAATATAAGGAATTGAACAATATTAATCTATTTAGGTCTCACAAATGCACAAGGGACATGACTTTAAGAACATCTTGCTCTACTAAAAGTTAAAAAAATTAGTTGTATTATTATTATTTGTGTAATTATATATTTTTAAATTATATATTTTTTTGGAGATCTTTTGCCAACCATTGCCAATTAATTCCGTTGAATTATTGTCCCATTATATATTTTTTAACTTCATATATAAAAAAGATCGCTTAATACGAGCAATCAACCACAAAAACACTATGTGATTGGAGAGCGAACACGCACACTTTAAAGATTGCTTAAAACAAAAGAAAACTTATTTTCCGCTCACAAATTGAACACAATAATACTCAGTTGTATAAGGTACCATTATTTTATTTTGATTAAATTTGATTTTGGTCAAAGAAACATTTTTCCGAAAAAGATGTTTATTGTAAATTTAATTGAACGGATATTTAAATTACTTTTTCTTAGATTTAAATATTATTAAGAACAATGTAGCGCATGATTTTTATAAATTTTAGTATGCTTTTATTTATTTTAGTATGAAGTATGCTTCATATCTTTATTTCACTAAATCTGATACTCGAATATATAAACCACAAGATGATGTCGAGTTTTTCTGCATGCTGTGTAATAAAAAGTTTACAGCTCATATTGGTTGAACATCTAACATTAAGAGACATTAACAAAGAAAACATCACGACATTTTGGGTAAGTGGTTTGACTAATACGACACACTAAACAAATCAAATAAAAAGCAAAACGTGCTAGATGCAGATACTTTGAACGCTATCAAGTTCTTTATTACATCAAACTGCTCAATAATTGGATTTAATAACCTCTTTTGGAGGAAAATAGTCAAACTTCCGCTTCCTTGTGCAAAAAGAGAAAACTTGATACCAGAAACAATGGCAAAATTAACAAACATAATTAACAAAAACTTAGAGGATGCCCTGGTTGTCATTTTATTTAGTGATATATGGACATCTCCTGAAATGTAGGACTTTATTGCGGTTGGTGCAACATTAACGAACAGTGATTCAAAAAAAGAAGTCATCGTTATTGGTATGGAACAGATGACGGGACGTCACAATGCAAAAAATATTAAATTAGGAGTTGAAAAGATTATTAAAACCTTTACCTTCAATAAATCAAAAAAATAAGGTATTTTTTTTAATTTTATAGCTTTAATTACTGTAAACACAATGAATTTATTTATTACTTAAGTTATATTTATTTAAAAGCTATTACATGTGATGAAGGGAGCTCATTCGTCAGACTGTTTAAGCAATTATTTTAAAAGGGAGCTCATTTGTCAGACTGTTTAAGCAATTATTTTAAAAGTCTCAAAAAGAAAGAGTTGAAGAGACGAAAGGTGGCGATAGTGCATATGAAAATGATCCATTGCTGAACCAAGAGGTTGCCCTAATATTGAAAAAAAGATAACGAGCAGCTAAAAATAGGTAAAGATGAAGTCTTAAATATTGAAATTCAAACCTCTGGTGAACTTCTTGAAGTGCTATTAACTGAATTAACGAAGCTTACTTATACAATTGTTATTCAGTAAGCCAAAACAGTTGAGGAAATAAACATCACTTATGACTTTAACGAAGAAAATGAATACGATCTTCATAGAGCTGAGCTAACTTCGCATGCATTAACTATTATTATTAATAATTTCAAAATGGAGTAGAATGGAGTTGTTAATTTCTTCTTTTAAAATTAAAGTTTCAGTACGAACTTAACTCAGGAATTTATCAAGTAGCATCACTGTTGAATATCTCAAAGCTTAAATTGTGGTTGTTTATACCTGATTGTCAATTTATTATTAAAGATATTTAGTTATTAAGTTATATTATTTAAGACAAAAAAAAGTTTTAAAATTTAGTTTAAAAAATAGTTCTTCAAAACCTACTTTATAATATTAAATAATTCCATATATTAGTTTATTATATTAAAGTTTGTATTACAACACAAAATAGTTTAGGAGCAGTAGAAAAGCTAAACGAAGTCCTGAAACTCTTTATGCCACATAATATATATCAAAATGCTTCAGAGTTGCATTTGGGATATGAGCTTACACAAATTAAAAAATGATTAAGTTCAAATGATCAGCAAACTGATTCGCTCAGCAGATTTACGCTAGATGATAACTATTGCCCAGAAGCTCGGCAGCCTAATTTACAACTTAATTTACTTTAAACTTTACTTTTTAAAGCAAATCGAAGAAAAAGGGCTTTTTTGGACGACAATGACTAAATAAAGATAATATATTTTTTGAACATGAAAAGCACAAAAATAAAATGAATATATAATGCAATAATTTCAATAATAACAATAATTTTAATAATAACACAACGGTTTAAATAAAAAATTAAATTATATCTTTGAATTAAAAAATAAAAAGTAATTCACGTTTTTTTGAAAAGATTTTTTAAAATAGATTAGGTAAGTCGCGTTTGTATCAGGTTCGCAAACACATTTATTCGAGTAAGTTACGTTTGAGCTACGTTTATAAACGCATTTTATATGCGTAAGTTGCGTATTAAATGTGTGCGTAAACGCGCTTCGTTGCATAAACTGAGTTTACGTTTACGTAAGTCAACGCAATAAGTTGTGTCAAATGTGTTTGAGTTTGCGTGTGAGTTTTTATTTTGGAACGCAAACGCAAAACGCAGTTGTTTTGCGTTCCAATGTATGGTTGTATCTAACAATTTGTCCATCTTACCTTTCCACAATTTGACAACTTTTTCTTTTGTTTCTTTTCAATTAGTAATGTCTCTAAACTTATTCTAGTTAAAATTTTATCTCCGTTATTTGACGTATTGCAATAGGTATTAAACAAAGAATCAGATTAGGTTTTAATACCAAATCTGCAAATACCACCGATATTTATTTTACAGGTAGATAACATCTCCTACAAAAAACATAAACTTTAATCTAT